CCGAGTAGTTGGGACTACAGGCACCCGCCACCATGCCCGGCTAATTTTTTGTATTTCAGTAGAGACGGGGTTTCACCATGTTAGCCAGGATGGTCTCGATTGCCTGACCTTGTGATCTGCCCACCTCAGCTTCCCAAAGTCCTGGGATTACAGGTGTGAGCCATTGTGCCTGGCCTGTTTTTGTTTTTTTGAGACAGAGTTTCGATCTTGTTGCCCAGGCTGGAGTGCAATGGTGTGATCTCGGCTCACTGCAACCTACGCCTCCCGGGTTCAAGTGATTTTCCTGCCTCAGCCTCCCAAGTAGCAGTAGCTGGTACTACAGGTGCATGCCACTATGCCCAGCTAAGTTTATATTTTTAGTAGAGATGGGATTTCACCATGTTGGTCAGGCTGGCTTTGAACTCCTGACCTCAGGTGATCCACCTGCCTTGGCCTCCCAAAGTGCTGGGATTACAGGCGTGAGCCACCGTGCCTGGCCTTGCTGTTTTTAAATGCTTTTACCTTTCATGGCCTCAGCACACTAAAACTCATATCCACTGAGGCGACTCACTGTCATTCTGGTTTGACCTCTTGCCATCTTTGACCTCTAGATTGAGTGCCCCAGCTCTGGGCTTCTGTAACATCGGATGGTGGGTGGGAGGAGGGGTGGGAAGAGGGATGAGTGGATGGAAGCACAAGGGGTGGACAGGATGGGTCGGGAGTGGACAGGATGGATGGGGGGTGGACAGGATGGTTGGGGGTGGACAGGATGGATGGGTGTATTACCGAAACACCAGGGGTTCAGTCTAGGTCCCGTTGCTTACCACACAGAAAGCTGATCTGGGATCCTGGGACAATGAGTATTGCCAGGAAAGAAGGCTTTATTCAGGTGACATCAGCCAAGGAGACAGGAGATTAAGTCTCAAATCCATCTCTCCAACAAACTCCAGTTGGGGGTTTATATAGTGGGGAGCAAATGTAGCTGCGTGCGGAAAAACAGGAATTAGAAGGGGGTAAAGAAAAGGAGTTTCAGTTCCTTGATGATATCTAGGAGGCCTGAAGGTCAGTTTCCTGGGGAAGGAACTCAGATAAGGCAAATTTAAGTTTCAAGCTTTAGGACCAGGAAGGTCAATTTCTGTGTTCATACAAAAAAAAAAAAAAAAATCTGTGGGACAATTTGGCCAGTTTCAGGTGGGCAGGACAGCAGGTGGAAGGGGCGCGGGTGGGTGGGTGAGGAGGAGGAGGACAGGCATCAGCTGAGCGGATGGATGGGGTTGGTGGGTAACCCAAACAGTATTACAGTATTTGGGAGGGGATGGGTGGCTGGGAGTGAATGTGAGTCGCTGGTGAATCTGGAGTACATGGGGCTTTGAAAAGTCACTGGGGTACCCTGGGCAGTTGGATGGGGGTCTGATGAGGGGATGAGACTGGAAAAATGGGTGGAGGAAAAATTGCTGCCAATGCCTCCTCGCACTCGTTCTTAAGTAGATGCTATGCAGGGTATTCATAGCCTCTCTGGCTATTTGGAATCCGGAAAGGGAGCTGGAATTAGAGAGGAACGGAGGGTCGCGTGGTTGCAGTGCCCTCTGGTGGCCATGAAGGAGTTGACAATTGGTGTCTGCATATTTTCCTTAAGTATTTTTTCATTGTCTATTCTTCCTGGCTCCCACCCCAACCCCAACATACAGACTCCCGGAGGACAGATATTTTTATCCGTTTACTCGTTGTATGTCTATTGTCTAGAATAGTACCTGGCACATAGTAGATGCTCAGTTAAATATTGAATGAATGAATGACACAATTCAAACTGCTCCACCACTTTTTTTTTTTTATTTATTTAATTTTTTTGTTTGAAACAGGGCCTCTGTCACCCAGTCTGGAGTGCAGTGGTGCAATCACAGCTCACTGCAGCCTCAACTGCCCAGGCTTAAGCGATCCTCCCACCTCAGCCTTCTGAGTAGCTGGGACTATAGGTGTGCACCACCACAGCTGGATAATTTTTTAAAAAATAAAAATGGAGTCTCACTGTGTTGCCCAGGCTGGTCTTGAACTCCTGGGCTCAAGTGATCCTCCTGCCTCAGCCTCTCAAAGTGCTGGGATTACAGGTGTGAGCCTCCGTGCCTGGCCTCCACCACTTTATTGATAAGTGACTCTAAGCAGCTCTCTTAACTTCATAAAGCCTCAGTTTCCTCTTGGGTAAGTGGAGAGGCTAACGCCCACCCCCACGAGCATTAACTGAGGGAAGGGGACCTGCATACCTTGGATGAAGGTGCTCCCTGCTAGTTCCCATCTCATGCAGTAGCCAGCATTGCTGGCACATCATGTACTCAAAACAGCACATCATTTTCATTAAACCAACTGCTAGGATGGGCACATCCCGCTGGGTGTGGGGCATCCTGGGGAAAATGATCCCAGCTTGGTCCTAGGCTGACCAGGCAAAGAGGAAGTGTAGCCAGATGGACAAGGGACTGGGAGGTGATGCATGAGAGTCCTCGCGTGCCATCCACGCCCCATTTCCCCACTCCCTCAGTCACACCCAACTCTTCCAACTGCCTTGAGCCATCGGACTCCCCTTGACTTCTGAGGCTCTGAAGACGCTATATCACTTCTCTCCAAACCCCATGGTCATGACCCACGCTCAAGTCCTCTTCCACAGCTCCTCCTGGCCTCCCTGCAGCCTCTCTAGCCCCCTCAAATGCATCCTTCTGCAACGGACTGGATTGAAGCTGTAAATAAGCTTATCTGATTTTCCAGTTTGATTTCCAGCTCACTCCTGGGACAGAGTCCAAATCCTCTGACCTACCATTTTGTGGTCTGGACCCAGCCCATCTCCTAGTCACCTCCTGATCACAGCCTCAAATCTTACAGTAGACAATTTGAGCCGTTTCCTACCTCTGGGCCTCTGCCCATGCGTCTCCCCTGCCTGGAAATCCATTTCCCTGCAAGGAGGGCGTGTGTTGCCCTTGAGTGCCCAAGATCCATTCCTTCTTCCCCCAGTAATGGAGTGCCCTCCCCAGCTCTCAGATCTGGAGGTTCCTGGAAGGCTAATCCATTTCTGGGCTCAGGGGGAGCTTAAGACTCAGCCAGGCAGGTTCCTTTTGCTTTTTTAATGGAATGCTGTGGTTGCAACGAGCATTTTCCAGTTGGCCACAGCTCACGCCCACTTTGTCTTATTCCAGTTCTACCCATTTATTTTATCCAAACGGGTCCTGGAGGCACTGAGTTTGCACCTCCTGGGACCCTCTCCTCACTTCTGCTCTATCAGGCCCCGGTGCCTGCCTGGATCCCACATGTTTTCCCTTCCGGTTCCCAGATCACCCCTGGGCTCAACTTTCCTCCCTTGATGCCCAGTGGTGCCCCTGATCCCATGGGGCTTCAGTTTCCCCAGTTCAGGCATGAGAAGCTGGGGTTCACCTGAGCGTGTCCATGTTTCTCCCAGAGGAAGGACGGGAGCAGGCAGGGTGGAGCTGGGATTAGAGGGGATGGGGCAGCCACAGGTGGCACCTCTGGGCTGTGTCCTGTTGTAGCAGGATGAGCCGCAGACAAAACTTCTCAGGCACCAGATTAAAGAAGGAAGAGGTTTACTCGGCTGGGAGCATCGGCAGACTTGCGTCTTAATAACCGAGCTCCCTGAAAAAGAAATACTTGGCCTTTTTAAAAGTTTACAACTCTAAGGGGTCCATGTGAAAGGGTCACGATATTTTGAGCAAGCGTGGGGAACGTGACTGGGGGCTACACACATCAGCTAACAGAATAGAAAGTTTTGCAATGCTTTTTCATATGATGTCTGGAATTTACAGATAACACAAGTAGTTTAAGTCAGGGGTTGATATTATTATTGTTACTTTTTTTTAACTACCAGGGCCCGGTGGTGGCGCCAGGGTCTTCTGGCTATTTATCTTACTTCTGTATTTTTTTTTTTTTTTTCCTAACATTTTGCTTTCTCTCTTTCCTCCTGTCTTGTAAACTAGGCAAGGTTGGGGGAGGAGGGCAGCAGGAGGAGTAGTGGTCTCCTTCCTTACTGTGGGACTGGCCCCTTTTGTTTAGGGTATCACCAAAGGCAGCATCCAGGTCAGCCCAGCATCTCTGCCCAGCAAACCTCCGTCTGCTGTGCATTCAGAGCTGGGTCATGCTGGTGTTTGGTTCAGGTTGGGTGCATGAAGGGTGCCGGATGGCCTGTCTGGGGCTTTTGCCTGCCTTTCTTCCTTTCTTTCCAACCTTCCTTTCCCTCCCTCCCTCTCTCTCTCTCTCTTTTTTGGAGACAGAGTGTTGCTCTATCACCCAGGCTGGAGTGCAGTGGCACCATCAGCTCACTGCAACCTCCACCTCCTGGGTTCAAGCGATTCTCCTGCCTCAGCTTCCTAAGTAGCTGGGATTACAGGCACATGCCACCACACCCAGCTAATTTTTCTATTTTTGGTAGAGATGGGGTTTCACCATGTTGGCCAGGCTGGTCTCAAACTCCTGACCTCAAGTGATCTGCCCACCTCAGCCTCCCAAAGCACTGGGATTACAGGCGTGAGCCATCGTGCCTAGTTGTCCTAGGTAACTTCTGACATTTGCTGACCCCTCACTATGTGCTCATATCACCGCAGAACCCCATGTGGTTGATCCTTTAGTAGACCTATTTTACAGATTAGGAAACTGAGATGAGCAGAGGTGAAGTCAGCCCTGCCGGGTCACAGGAGCAGCAGGTGGCAGAGCCAGAGTTGGGCTCAAGCTAATGCCAAGTGTGTCCCATTGGCCACTGACCCTAAAGATGTGTGACCCGGGCCGGGTGTGGTGGCTTACGCCTATAATCCCAGCACTTTGGGAGGCCGAGGCGGGCGGATCACAAGGTCAGGAGATCAACACCTTCCTGGCTAACACGATGAAACCCCATCTCTACCGAAAATACAAAAAATTAGCCGGGCGCGGTGGTGGACGCCTGTAGTCCCAGCTACTCAGGAGGCTGAGGCCGGAGAATGGCGTGAACCCGGGAGGCGGAGCTTGCGGTGAGCCGAGATCGCGCCACTGCACTCCAGCCTGGGCGACAGAGCGAGACTCGGTCTCAAAAAAAAAAAAAAAAAAAAAAAAAGAGATGTGTGATCTGGAGGGTCCTGGTGAGCCACGTTAACCCATGGCTGGTGTCATCCTCTTCCTGTTTAGGACCAGTGGATTTTGGGCACTGGAGCCGCCTCTTTGGCAAACAGCTTGAGGGAGAAATCAAGGGCTGGGGCCGCCTGGGTCAGCATCCCCATGGAGATGACATCTATGTGCGGCCCGCAGAACTGAGGGAGGTTGTCCAGGGTGATGCCCCCACTGGCTTCCACCGCCACACTTGGGAACTGGGCCTTCAGCGCGGCAGCCGTGGGGTGCAGCTCCTGCGGGACACAAGTGGAGGGGAGGTGAGAGCCCACCACAGACCCCTCCCCGGAGGCAGAGCCCAGCTCACCTTCGGCTTGAAGTTGTCCAGCAGGACAAGGTCGGCACCCGCCTCAGCCGCCTGCACGGCCTCCTGCAGGCTGCTGCATTCCACCTCCACTTTCAGAGCGAAGTCGGCTGCCTGCCGGGCAGCCCGCACCGCCTGCTGGGCAGCCGGGAGGACGAGGGTGAGGACTGGGCCCAGCGCCTGGCGCTGGGGCGCAGGGAGCTGGGAGGGCGAGGGTGAGGATAGGGCCCAGCACTGAAGCTGGGGCCCAGGGAGCCAGGACTGGCATTTGAAAAGCTCCGGATGGACCATGAGCTTGGGGTTAATAAGGAAACCAGACGTTGGGGTTTTTTGGTTTTGTTTTGTTTTGTTTTGTTTTGTTTTTGCGACAGGGTCTCATTCTGTCGCCCAGGCTGGAGTGCAGTGGTGCAATCATAACTCACAGCAGCCTCCACCTCCTGGGATCAAGTAATTCTCCCACCTCAGCCTTCCGAGTAGCTGGGACTACAGGTGCGTCCACCACACCCAGCTAATTTTTGTTATTTTTAGTAGAGAGGAGGTTTCACCATGGTGGCCAGGATGGTCTCTAACTCAGGACCTCGTGATCCGCCCGCTTCAGCCTCCCAAAGTGCCGGGATTACAGGCGTGAGCCACCAAGTGGCTGGGACTACAGGGGCTTGCCCACAAGCATGGCTAATTTTTTCATATTTTGTAGAGACAGAATCTTGCTATATGGCCCAGTCTGGTCTCAAACTCCTGCCTCAAGTAATCCCCCCACCTGGGCCTCCCAAAGTGCTGGGATTACAGGCATGAGCCACTGAGCCAGGATGTTTTATTGTAGGCCAAAATGACCACTTTTGTGGGTCAAAAAGCGGAAGAATATCAGCAATATTTGGCATTTGGACCTGAGTTCAATTTGACTCAGAATATTAAAATTAGAAGGGGTCTTTAAGGACATTTCACAGATGGGAAATTAGGTGCAGAGGGCTAGAGAGATGGGCTCAAGGCTGTGGTGCCAGTGACACTGGCTTCCCCCGGGTTGTCCTTTGTTCTCGAACATTACACCATGCAGCAGCAGAAAAAAGATAAAGAATCAATTCCAAAACCAGGTGTGGTGGCTTATACCTATAATCCCAGCACTTTGGGAGGTCAAGGTGGGAGGATCTCTTGGGTCCTGAAGTTTGAGACCAGCCTGGGCAACATAGTGAGACCCCATCTCTTAAAAAGAAAAAAAGGCGGCTGGGCACAGTGGCTCACACCTGTAATCCCAGCACTTTGGAAGGCCAAGGCAGGTGGATCACCTGAGGTCAGGAGTTTGAGACACGCCTGGCCAACATGCTGAAACTCTGTCTCTACAAAAAAATACAAAAATTAGCTGAGCGTGGTGGCTGGCGCCTGTAATCCCAGCTACTCGGGAGGCTGAGGCAGGAGAATTGCTTGAACCCAGGAGGTGGAGGTTGCAGTGAGCCGAGATTGTGTCACTTCACTCCAGCCTGGGTGAAACAGTGAGACTCCATCTCAAAAAAGAAAAAGCAAAAATTAGCCAGTGGGGTGGAGCATTCCTGTATATCCAGCTACTGGAGAGACTGAGGCCCCATCTCCAGAAAAAGAAAAGCAAGCCCAGCTCCCCATTTAGCTTAGCTGGATGAGCTCAACTGAGCCCAGCTCAGATGGAGGAGCTGAGGTAGGAAGAGTCTTGTGTTGCTGACTCCAGGCCATGGCTGTTCACCAGGTCATGGCTGGAGGCTCTGGGGAGGGGAGGGGAGGGGAGGGGTGTGCTGAGGGTGAGGTTGGACCAGGGACAGGCAGGACCAGCACCTTCTCCACACCACCGGCGGCCACCACATGGTTGTCCTTCACCATCACCAGTCCTCCCAGGTCGTAGCGGTGCGAGGCGGCCCCGCCCACCAGGAGCCCGTACTTCTCCACCAGCCGGAAGCCTGGTGTGGTCTTCCTTGTGCCGGCCACGTGCCCAGTCCAGCCGGCCCCCCTGGCAGCCTCCACTGCAGCGGTGGCAGCACTGGCAATGCCACTGCAGCGGGCCAGCATGTTGAGGGCCACCCGTTCCCCCAGCAGCAGGCTGTGGGCAGGGCCCCGGACCTCGGCCACTCTGGCCACCGGCACCAGCTTCGATCCCTCAGGGAGGAACCAGGAGACTTGGCAGTTGAGTTGGGTAAAGATGGCATCGAAAAAAGGCTGCCCTGCCAGTACCCCAGGGGATTTGGCCCACAGCACCGCCTGCGAGGGGCCTGCCCCGCTGACCAAGGCTGCGTAGTTGAGCCCTGGGCAGTCCTCTCGGAGCCAGCTGTCCACCAGGGCTGCCAGGGTGACGGGCGGCAGCAGCAGTGCCAGGCCTGGGGGGAAACAGAGAACAGCTGTTGAGTTTGGCTGCCTCTGCTGCTATCAGGGATTATTGTCAAAATATTTAACAACCAGTGAAACTGGGCACTGGCCCATCAGCCTCAAGATCTAGGGGTTCCAGTGGAGGGGCTGCAGGGAGGAAAGGGGGTGTGGGGGGAAGGGGGGTTGTGGGGGCGAGGATTGGGGAGTGCTGTGGGCTGGACGAGGTCACTGGGCACCTAGTTAAATTTAAACTTCTGGGCCGGGCGCAGTGGTTCATGCCTGTAATCCCAGCACTTTGGGAGGCCGAGGCGGGCGGATCATGAGGTCAGGAGATCGAGACCATCCTGGCTAACATGGTGAAACCCCGTCTCTACTAAAAATAAGAAAAAATTAGCCAGGCATGGTGGTGGGCGCCTATAGTCCCAGCTACTCAGGGGGCTGAGGTAGGAGAATGGTGTGAACCTGGGAGGCAGAGCTTGCAGTGAGCAGAGACTGTGCCACTGCACTCCAGCCAGGGTGACAGAGCAAGACTCCATTTCAAAAAAAAAAAAAAAAAAAATTTAAACTTCTGGTCAGGTGTGGTGGCTCATGCCTGTAATTCCAACACTTTGGGAAGCCAAGGCAGGCAGACCACTTGAGGTCAGGAGTTCGAGACCCACCTGGCCAACATAGTCTCTACTAAAAATACAAAAATTAGCCAGGCATGGGGGCGGGCACCTGTAATCCCCCCGTATCAAACTATGATAAATAAACATAGTTTGTTTATCCAATACTCATGAGTTGTAGCATTCAAATTCACTTTTAAAAAAAATCAGTCTGGCCAGGAGCGGTGGCTCACGCCTGTAATCCCAGCACTCTGGGAGGCCATGGCAGGCAGATCACCCAAGGTCAGGAGTTTGAGACCAGCCTGGCCAAAATGGTAAAACCCTGTCTCTACTAAAAATACAAAAATTAGCCAGGCGTGGTGGCAGGCGCCTGCAATCTCAGCTACTCGGGAGGCTGAGGCAAGATAATTGCTTGAACCTGGAAAGTGGAGGTTGCAGTGAGCCGAGGTCGCGCCACTGCAATCCAGCCTGGGTGACACAGCAAGACTCTATCTAAAAAATAATAATAATAAAAATAAAAAATAAATAAAATGAGGATGATGGGGCTGGGCACAGTGGCTCATGCTTGTAATCACAACACTTTGGGAGGCTGAGGCAGGTGGATCACCTGAGGTCAGGAGTTCAAGAACAGCCTGGCCAACATGGCGAAAACCTGAAAAAAAATTAGCCGAGTGTAGTAGGGCATGCCTGTAACCCTAGCCACTGGGGAGGCTGAAGCAGGAGATTCACTTGAACGCAGGAGGCAGAGGTTGAAGTGAGCTAAGATCGTGCCACTGCACTCCAGCCTGGGGTGACAGAGCAAGACTTTGTCTCAAAAAAAAAAAAGGATGATGATGGGAAGGTGGGGAATGTTAATAGGTACAAAAAAGAAAATAGAAAGAATGAATAAGACCTACTATTTGCTAGCACAACAGGGTGACTATAGTCAACAATAACTGTACATTTCAAAATAACTAAAAGAATGCAATTGGATTATAACAGAAAGGATAAATGCTTAAGGGGATGGACACCCCATTCTCCATGATGTAATTTTTTTTTTTTTTTTTTTTTTTTTTTTTTTTGAGACAGAATCTCATTCTTGTTGCCCAGCTGGAGTGCAATGGAGTGATCTCGGCTGGCTTCAACCTCAGCCTTCTGGATTCAAGCGATTCTCCTACCTCGGCCTCCCAAGAGGCTGGGGTTACAGGCACCTGCCACCACACCCGGCTAAAATTTGTATTTTTAGTAGAGACCGGGTTTCACCATGTTGGCCAGGCTGGTCTCGGACTCCTGACCTTGTGATTCGCCTGCCTCTGCCTCCCAAAGTGCTGGGATTACAGATGTGAGCCACTGTGCCCGGCCTAACCTGATTTTTATTTATTTATCTATGTTTTTGAGACAGAGTCTCGCTCTGTCGCCAGTGTGGTGCCTGCAGTGGCCTGGCGACTGCAGAGGTGCAATCTCGGTGTGAGCCACCGTGCCTGGCCCATGATGTTATTATTATGCATTGCATGCTTTATCAGTATGCACCCGGCCGGGCGCGGTGACTCAAGCCTGTAATCCCAGCACTTTGGGAGGCCAAGACGGTCGGATCACGAGGTCAGGAGATCGAGACCATCCTGGCTAACACGATGAAACCCCGTCTCTACTAAAAAATACAAAAAAATAGCCGGGCGAGGTGGCGGGCGCTTGTAGTCCCAGCTACTCGGGAGGCTGAGGCAGGAGAATGGCGTAAACCAGGGAGGCGGAACCTGCAGTGAGCTGAGGTCTGGCCACTGCACTCCAGCCTGGGCGACAGAGCAAGACTCTGTCTCAAAAAAAAAAAAAAAAAAAAAATGCACCCCATAAATATATACACCTACTATGTACCCACACTTTTTTTTTTTTTTTTAAATAAGGATGGTGGACATGGGGAAGGTCCCTCACGCCCTAGGCATAGTCCGTGATGGGCCCTGCATGGCTGTGGGCAGAGGCAAACCCAGGCGCGGTGCAACAGCGCCATCTATCTGCGGGGTGAAGATCTGCAGCCTCATGGGCCTTCACCGTCCGTGGACTTGGCTTCCCCTTGAGGGGGACACAGAGCCAGCGAGGGTGTTTGATTTAGCGCGCACACACGTGCACGCACACGCACATACACGAGCACACAGCACACTTCTGCTCCAAGTGGAAGTGAAGGCCAGACATCCTGGCTTGGTCTGCTCTCCGAAGCAGGCCCTCTCTTGTCTACTTCCCCAGAGCCAACCTGCTGAGTCTCCACTCACCCCACCTCCCCTCCGAGCCACAAGCCTCCTTGACTGCACCGGGCTCTCCTTCGCCACGTTCTCTCCCACATCTGCCCCAGATGGCTCCTGCCCCTCCACTAAGAGCCAGCTACATGTACTGAGGCTGGGCGCTGTCTCTGTTGGTCACATCCAGCTACGGAAAAGGCCTGGGAGCAAACGGCCGGGAGTGAGAGCCTAATCCCCCACTCCCACTCCATTCAAACTAGGTGCAGTGCAGTGGCGCGATCATGACTCACTGCAGCCTCAACTGCCCAGGCTTAAGCAATCCTCTCGCCTCAGCTTCCCAAGGAACTGGGACTACAGGCACACAGCAACCATGCCTGGCTAATTTTTGTATATGTTTTGTTGTAGAGATAGGGGTCTCACTATATTCCCCAGGCTGGTCTTGAACTCCCAGGCTCAAGCAATCCTTGCACCTCAGCCTCTCAAAGTCCTGGGATTACAGGAGTGTGCCACTGTGCCAATCCTGACTTTTTTTTTTTTTTTTTTTTTGATCCAGAGTTTCACTCTTTTGCCCAGGCTGGAGTGAAGTGGTGTGATCTTGGCTCACTGCAACCTCCATCCTCCATCCCCCGGATTCCAGCGATTCTTCTGCCTCAGCCTCCCAAGTAGCTGGGATTACAGGCGCCCACCACCATGCCAGGCTAATTTTTTATTTTTAATAGAGACAGGGTTTTACCATTTTGGCCAGGCTGGTCACAAACTCCTGACCTCAGGTGATCTGCCCGCCTTGGCCTCCCAAAGTGCTGGGATTACAGGCGTGAGCCACCACACCTGGCCAGCCTGATTTTTTTTTTTTTTCAGGCTGATTTTTTAAAAGTGAATTTGAATTCTGCAACTGGTAAGTATTGGTTAAACAACCTGTGATGCAGGCTGGGCACCATGGTTCACACCTGTAATTCCAGTGCTTTGTGAGGCCAAGGTGGGCGGATCACAAGGTCAGGAGTTCAAGACCAGCCTGGTCAACATAGTGAAACCCCATCTCTATGAAAATACAAAAACTAGCCAGGCGTGGTGGCACGCGCCTGTAATCCCAGCTACTCGAGAGGCTGAGGCGGGATAATCACTTGAATCAGGGAGACGGAGGTTGCAGTGAGCTGAGATCATGCCACCGCACTCCAGCCTGGATGACAGAGTGATAATCCATCTCAAAAAAGGAAGAAACCTACTACTGATACACACAACAATAGGGACCTGTCTCAAATGTATCATTCTAACTAAAAGGAGCCGGATCCAAAAGGCCGTATGATCCCATTCACGCAGCATCCTGGGAAAGGCAAAACTGTAGGCACAGAGCAAATCACTGTTACCTGGGGAGTGGGAGGAGTTGACCACTGAGATCTGGTGAGGTTGCAGAGAAAAAGGAACACTTATACACTGTCGGTGGGAGTGTAAATTAGCTAAACCATAGTGGAGGACAGTGCAGCAATTTCTCAAAGACCAAAAACCAGAAATACCATTCGACCCAGCAATCCCATTACTGGGTATATACCCAAAGTAAACCATTCTGTTATAAAGACACATCACAGCACTATTCACCATAGGAAAGACGTGATTCAACCTAAATGCCCATCAGTGGTAGACTGGATAAAGAAAGTGTGGTACACATACACCATGGAATACTATGCAGCCATAGAAAAGAATGAGATCACGTTCTTTGCAGGGACATGGATGGAGCTGGAAGCCATTATCCTTAGCAAACAAATGCAAGAACAGAAAACCAAATATCACATGTTCTCACTTATAAGTGGGAGCTAAATGATGAGAACGCATGGACACATAGAGGGGAACAACACATACTGGGCCCTATCAGAGGGTGGAAGTTTGGAGGAGGGAGAGGATCAGGAAAAATAACTAATGGGTACTACACTTAATAGCTGGGTGACTAAATAATGTGTACAACCCCCATGACATAAGTTTACCTATGTAATAAACCTGCACATGTATACCCCTGAACTTAAGATAAAAGTTAGATTTAAGGCTGGGCATGGTGGCTCACGCCTGTAATCCCAGCACTTTGGGAGGCCAAGGAGGGTTGATCACCTGAGGTCAGGAGTTCAAGACCAGCCTGTCCAACATGGCAAAACCCCGTCTCTACTAAAAACACAAAAATTAACCAGCCGTGGTGGCAGGCACCTGTAATCC